AGGTGTTGATGGCAGCGGCACAGCTGAAATTTTATCCAGGATGGTGTCACAGTCAAACAGGAACAGACCAGATGAAGCTACTATGATGAGAAAAAACAAAGAGAGCATAAAGTTAGAGATTTAACTAATACTGCAAAATGGGAGAATAGAAATAGAATGATGAAAAGGGGTCCTCAATCAGTCTAAGCCTAAAGTAGCATAAACAGAGATAGTTCAGAATAAACTGAGCCACTCTATAAGCTTTATCAAAAAGAAACATTTTAAGCCATGCTTAAAAGTAGAAAGGGTGTCTGCCTCATGGACCACATCTAGTAAGTGGGTTCAACTGGAGGGGAGCCTGATAACTGTAAGATTTTCCTCCCATTATCCTGGTTTATCTGAACACGGTCATAAAGAAGTACCAGGATCCATTAACTAGTTACACATGACCACCACAAAAAACTAAAATGCATGACTGCCATTATTCTTTTCCAGATTTACCGTACTGCTTTATCAAGACATTCAAGTCAAAACTCTGTAATCAAATTAAACTTTAGTGTTAAACAAGCTAATTTGCTAAGTGAAAAATGAAATGCTATAATCCAAATATCACCTGACTGCATTATATCTAGAGGTGAGTATTGGCATGAGTGTTGCGATTCGATACATGTCGCGATACTTGGGTCACGATACGATATCACGATGTTGCAGTATCACTAAATATTGCCATATTTTCCCCAGTTATCAAAATTAAATGATGAGATAAAACAGCAAGTGCTGTATATTTTCATCAGAAAATATTGATTAGGTATTATCCATGTTGTTTGGGGTTTTCTTCCACTGTGACTGCCTCAAATACAGATTTGGTGCTGCACGCACAGTTAAAGGGCTCCACAGCGCTTTCTGCCAGAGTGGTGGTGCAGAGGTAGCCCATTTTCCCATCAATGTTTTATGTAACCATTTTTTTTTAATCGATACTAAGAAGTGAAAGATCGATATTATATTGGGCAGCCGAATATCACGATATATCGCCAAAACGATTGTTTCCCACACCCCTAATTATATCTGTGCTTAACTTGCCACTTATAGGGGAAAACCAGTGGGAGTTTAATAATGATCTGCAGAACATCAAATGTTCTTTACAGGTACAGAGAGCCTGGATCATCCAGCTGATAGCTGGCATGGTGGACCGGTGTGACAGATCAACTGGGGAGGAGATCAACTGGTTAGAATCTATGCGCACCGCAGATGTTACTGAAGCTTAGGTGGCTGTGTTGATGCCTGGCGAAAAAATATTCCTAACGTAACAAAACTGTTCGCCAAAAAAAAATCAACCGACATATCTAATGAATTAATTTCTGTTTTGCTTTGTTTTTTCAGATTAGAACGATGTGGTAAAGAAATTGTATCCTCGGCAAAGCAGATAGTGCAGAGAATCCCACACAGAGAACAGCGTCGTTCACAAGTGTAAAGAAAAAATACAAATAAAAGTCTGTCTCACACTGGAGTGTCATTTCTCCTGTTGAACGATAAGCTATAAATGAAAACCTGTAGCTTGGACGATAAAGTCCGCCCACTTCATAAATTCCTGAACGTAAAAATAAATCCATTAATGAGGCCTGTCATTCAGAAGGCACGTGTGTAAGCAGCACATTTTAAAGAAAAACTGACTGCAAACGGAACAATTGGGCTTCTCATCCTTCCAACTATTCCCACTTTATTTTTTGAATATTGACAAAAAGTTATTTTCTTAGATTCAATGCTCTCATATTTCCTTTATTCTCCTGCCTGGACACAAATACAAGTCTCTACTACGGTGTTGTTGTTTTTTTTGTGGATCCCAAAACTTTGTCCCGTATGATGAACTGTATCAGGTCAAACACCTTTATTTTTATTGCTATTGTGTTCAGTCTGTTCATAATATCCAGTTATGAGACCATAACGAACTGGTTTTACTGCCCCATATGTAAAAAGGGGGTAAAATGTATTTACTTAGGCGCATTGCAGCTAATAGAATCTGAATCACATACCTGTTGATGCGAAAACTTTACTCTTTCAGTTTTCACAGTAGAATTTAAATCCCAGAGTTAGCAGCTACCGCTATGGTGTGGGTATGAGTCGCCGTGACTGTTTTATGTTTTATCTTGTAGAAAAATGCAGATATTCTTAAACGAAGAACTAGATTAATTTGTGACGGGGTCCACAGCACAGCTGTTTGGAGAGATTAGTTGGCTGCGTGGTTGCCCGATCAAAATGCCGCAAATGTAAACAAACGGGTCAGAATAAAGGTTATAATTTATCCTGGCCTAATATCTATCCAACACACGTCTGTTGTCTGTGGATAATGTGAAATATTATGAGTCATTTAAGTTTGGGGATCAAATAAATGCATCGTGAGGATCTGAAAGCGTCAGAATCTGCAGAGTGTCACAGATTAACTTGTGATCCAGCGGGATCTGGAGGAATATGGGCTGTAAAACACTCCATCTCCTGGGATGTTGTTTGGATGTTATTATCTTATCCTCAATTAGGGTTGTAGCAGGCTACTTTAAATGTTTAACTGTTATTGTTGATTAGTTTTCTTACCGCAATTACGAACCCGTCATGATGTGTGACCATGTTCACGCAGTCAGCTGTCATGTTATTCCCTTCTATTGTTTTGATGACGCCACATTATTAGGTTTGCATGCAGAACAACTTTAAATCATTCGCGTTTTTCAAGTTACTGGCAATAGAGTATTGCTTTGTCTACTTTTTACTATTGGTCTAAATTGTTTGCTCCACTGGTACAATTAGAATGACAAAAAGCACAAAACGTTGATTGCGAGGAAATGTTTGTCATTTCAGAGTTAGGAGATAATATTGTCTTGCCCATCTGTGGAAAATCTGTTAAAATAAAAGAAGGGCATAACAGTATCTGTGGGATCGAACCCGCGACCGACGTTGTATTAATGTACAAAGCGTCTGTTTACCTGCTGAGCTATTGATACGTGCACTGTATATGACCCCACCTGCGTTAATGAACCTGTTGCGTGTGTCTGCTTTGCCTGTTGAAGAGCTGGTCTAGATCAACTGGTGACAGTTAATGTTTCAGAGTCCGCTGATCGCTTAAAACATGTTTGAATTCCAGAATATCAGATATTACTATTTTTTTCCTTCTTTACTCTTAGAACAGAATGGGGCCTCCCCGTTAAGAGATAGTTAGACAGCAGGTTATGCTATACTATTAAAAGAAAAAATAATAACCAGATCTTTTTTTTCGATCAGATATCTACCGTAAAATATCCCTGTTTTATTTATTCATTGTTTGGCAGCAGTTAGCCTGGAGGCTCTGCTGCTTCTTTTAATGCTTTAGTTCAGCAGGTTCTGCATTTGTTCGCCCCGATGCCCAAAATATCACATATATTCACACAATATATAAACTGAATTCAGAGATTTCACTCTTCTCCGCAGCAGTTATGTTATTTTGCTTTGTTCCTGCAACACATCTTAAACTTTAAAGACATTTATAACTCCTCTGGGAACGAGTTTGGCTGTAAGTAATTAGTTTCCCTCCATATAAACAGTCTGCGCTTTTCAGAAAAAAAGAGGAAATTTTTATTTTCGTTCGTTTTAATTTACAAGACATACAGGACGACAAAAAAATGGGAAAAAAATACACCGTTAGTTGTTCCCATTGATCTTTTATTGCACTGGCTGTTTTTCCTTCTGATACAGCTTTCTGTGGTTTTTCTACTCGGTTCTTTCTCTCATCGCTGAGGCTCTGAAACAAACAGATAAACAACAGCAGGACAAGTTCCTCAAATCTCTGTGTGCGGGTTTGGAGAAAACCCTAAAACATGCTATATGCTTTCTTAATGCAATTAAATACCTTTGTGATGGTGACTTCTTAAAATCTCAACGTATTTCGTATCGATCAGATAACAAAATAATTTGTAGTTCTTGGAGTCTACACGCAGTTTACTTCCTGTTTGAGGCGAGGGGTCCTGAATAGCCCCGCCCACAGACACATCTGCAAAAATCAGCGGTTTTCCAGCTGCCGTCACCAGTTGATCTCCTCCCCAGTTGATCTGTCACACCGGCTTTAAACGCCTGTTCCATCATCAGAAATTTAACGATTTGTAGTTGCATAATCCCAGATATGGCTGCCAGATTTTAAGCTTGTGGACCCTTGTGTTCCCCATGGGCGTCCATTACGACATCGTTCTGCTCAGTACTCCGATTATTTTCACAGCATGAAAAAAATATCCTCCGAAAAGATATCGTTTATAATTATTCTTTTCATTCACTACTTTTAAGTACTGTTGAATGTAATAACCATCTTGAACAAGGGCGTAGGTTTGACTTCAACTTTGGTAGGGACATTGTTGGTCTGATGTCATTAGTCTTATGCAAAAATATGCAGTTTTTTTTTTTTTTTTTTTTTTTTTTTTTTTATGCTCGACGTGAAAATGGAATACCAAAAATACCAAAATTGTGCTAAAAAAAAAAAAAAAAAAAGCCATTTAGCATTTTAGATAAAAAAAAAATCTTTTTGTCTTGTCAATATTCTCCATCCAGAACTCCTCTACTGCTGCATTGTAAATTATAAACATGTTATTTACATCTAATTTTTAGTAGGGACATGTAAGTTGGTCCAAAATTTTGGTAGGGACATGTCCCTATGCAAACCTATGCCCATGATCTTGAATGCAAGACTCTGTGACCATGCTGTTGCACCAACTCTGACTTGTAATTCCAACATTCAGAAGCATCCCAGATGAAATTTACAATTGGGACAGTGGAAATTCTAATGAAAAATTTGCACCTGAACAGATATTTCCAAAAATGACAGGGCATTTTGGTAATGAAGGACATTGTGATAAACAATGCAGTCATTTTGATTTTACACAGCTACAGTCTTTTAAAAAAAAATAAATAAAAAAAAAGGAGGAAATTGTGTTTTATGGTGTCTTTAATTGAACACGTTGCACACAGTGGATATGAGTTATTCAAAAAAGGGGGGAAAAAATCTAAATACATAGAAACTAGCTTATTGATTGATTACATCTTTCCACTCTCCTGAGGCTCGATATAGCCATCTGGGGGCAGCAGAGAGCTGAAACGCAGCAGAGGCAGGTCCACAGGGCGGCAGCGCTCCTTCACTGGGGCCCGCACCTCTTTGCCTCCTCTTATAGGTGGGGGTGGAGGTGGCAGGTCACTGTCATTGGGAGTAGAGTAGTTGTCATCAGGAGGGAGATGATTGTTGTTTGGGTCGGGTGAGGAGACACTGCTGGGGCAGCGGATTATGAAACCTCCCCGGTGGTGACGGCGATAGAGCGCGCCCGCCACAGCCAGCAGTGCCAGGAGGAGGAAGCCGAGCAGGAAGAACAGAACGTAGATCCCTATAGTCTCAGAAGACAGGTCTGAACTGCAGCCTGCAGGGGATTAAGAAGTAGCAGCTGACATTCGGCAACATTTATGCACTTTTAGCTACTATAACAGAACTGTTAAGGCTAGACTGATGAGATTTAGGCTTTTTTTTATTACACTTTCATGACCTGTTTCAGAACCATTCAACAGATCTGCAACTATGATGTAAACTGCAAAGTAGTATATTGGATTATGATTTTTTTCCAAAAAGTTTCAGAGTTTTAGCTTTTTCACCTTAAAGATTCATGCCAGCATTCACCATTCTCCTGACGTTCTTAATCTGAGGAAACTAGCTTGAAATTGCTGATCTTGGAGCAATCTTAATAGCAATATACAGGCATGTAGGAGACCCTTTGATGCAAAACCAAAAGACTTTCCTTGGTGAGAACTGCAATCAATAAAATGGTTTTAAGTCTTTCCAGTGACTGATTCAGAATGCTCTTCTTAGCATTCTAGATCCAATCCACATCTCCAAAAACAAAAAAAGAAACAGCTCTATGGTTGCAATTTTTTAAAACTTTGAACGCGACCAAAAAGTCAGTCAGAGTTACCGTACCTGCAGCCTGTTCCTCCATGCACGTAGTTCCTCCTGATCCCAGACGGGACTCATCCTGAAAGCCTGGCCTGCAGTGGCAGGAATATGTGCCAAAGTGGTTCACACAGTCGGCGTTAACGTCACACAGAACCAGCTGGGTCCCACATTCATTCACATCTGAAAGAAACACAGCTGGCTAATGATTACACAAAATATACAAACCTTTCCCAATGTCATCCTGAACAAGGGCAGGGGAATTAAGGATGTTGTAGATCGTTTTTTTTGGCGGGCCAATGGCGGCCCTTCTGGTTAGGGCATCGTGTTTGGAATTCAGAAGTTCTGAGTTAGACTCCTGGTCCTAATACTCATCATAAAGCAGTAGTATAATAACTTGACTCCACCAGATGGATTTGCTCCGCATATCCATCTGGAAACCTTCCGTTGAAGTAATTTTGGGAAGGGGCGAAAATACTGGTTAGCTGATTGGCCTATGTTGGTGATAGACGGGCCAAATAAACCAATCAGATCAACGAAGCATATGACGTACTAACAGCCAGGCTACTCTTGCCGAAACCAGTCGGGAGAAGAGCAAAAACATCTTTTTCCTCTGAGAAAAGCCTCCAGAGCAGTGTTTTGCTCTTCTTTCAGTGAAGAAATACTCTGTAATTCCGATAAAACTTGCTCGATAGCCACGCTAACGCTAGTTTCATCGGCTGAAGCCGCCATGTTCTTTAGACTGAACTGTCGCGCTTCTCGTTGCGTCACACCTCAACCCGCCTCAAAGCCAACGCTGATTGGATGTTCGTTTGGTGAACGGTTTTCAAATTTTCTTTAATGGAGAGTCTCCAGACTGATCTGCGAGTGAAACCTTGAAAGCTCGCGAGATCAGGATGGTCTCACGAGGCTACTAGTATAAGGTTTTCAGTATTTGTTCTTAAAGGAATAGTACACCCAAAACATGATTAGCCTTCATTTTCTACTCACCCCCATGCTGAACAAATCTCTGGAGTACTTTTTTGATATCTCAAATGCATCTGGAGATCTGGGAGGCTTCTTGCTGTCTGCTGACATTCAAATAATGGAGGTCTATGGCGCCCGAGACAGAAAGGTCCATAAAAGTCCACAAAAAACGTGTCAATATTCCTCCATACTGCTCGTCCAATGTATTCCAAGTGTCCTGAGTGGGTAGCATCCAGAATTTACTCGAAACGAAGTCATTTAGAACGTTTTAGAGCCTAAACAGTAGTGTATAGGATTTCCTAATAGCGCCCCCATGCGCGCTCACGATTCTACGGAAGCCGGCAGACCAAACCGGATGAAAGTGCGCATTCAGCGTCTGCTCTGCTGATAATGCAAGCGTAGAAGAAGAAATGTGCCGTTTACCTGTGCAAAGAAAGAAACAACGAAAGAAAAATGTCTGAGGACTTCAGTGTTGAGGAAGAGCATGAGTTCTTTGCCGAGCTGAATGCGCTGGTTTGGTCTGCCGGCTTCCGTAGGATCGTGAGCACGCATGGGGGCGCTTTCAGGAAATCCTATACACTACTGTTTAGGCTCTAAAACGTTCTAAATGACTTTGTTTCGAGTAAATTCTGGATGCTACCCACTCAGGACACTTGGAATACATTGGACGAGCAGTATGGAGGAATATTGACACGTTTTTTGTGGACTTTTCTGTCTCGGGCGCCATAGACCTCCATTATTTGAATGTCAGCAGACAGCAAGAAGCCTCCCAGATCTCCAGATGCATTTGAGATATCAAAAAAGTACTCCAGAGTTTTGTTCAGCATGGGGGTGAGTAGAAAATGAAGGCTAATCATGTTTTGGGTGTACTATTCCTTTAAGCATTTTGTAGAAGTTAGAATAACTTGAGTAAAGTGCAATTTTTAAAACTGGAGCATAAAAGTAAAACCAATGCAGGTAAACTTTTTTAACAGTGTTTAACAGGATTTATACTATTATTCGAGTGATAAACAATACTTTTTACACCCCTGCTCATACTACAATAATGCCCATGTCCAACTTTACAGTGGTGTTATCTGGTAGACTAGACCTTCAGCTCCAATTCAGTAGCTCACAGAACCTAGTCTGAGCTGCACATTACCATCAAAACATGGTATCATTTTATCTAAAGCAGGCCACAGAGATTCAATGACACCCGGAGTAGTACCTGCTGTGGACACAGACATGATGACAGCGTTTCTGTGACCGACTCTGAGGCTGACGCCTGTGGCGAGGAGGCCCTGCATGGCCGAGTGGACGGCCCTGTGGATCTGCACCCCTCCAGGCCCATGTCCGATCTGCAGCCAGAGGATATAGAGGGCTCCTGCATTCAGCCTGCACACAAAACCACCACGAAGCAGATCATTAAGGGTTTTTCTAACCCATTCATTTCACCTGATTTTGGATCCCATTGTCTCCAAAAATATAAAACTTTACCAAATGGGGCAAAAATACTCTGATATCTACATACAGTTCAAAATCAAACGTTTGGACACACCAACTCATTCAAAGAGTATTTTCTTGATGATGAAAATTGATGATTGACACCAAAGGACTCAAAACTATGAATTAACACATGAGGAATAATATAGTTAAAACAGTGTGAAACTGAAATTATGTCTTATATTCTAGGTTCTTCAGAGTAGCCACCTTTTGCTCTGATTATTGCTTCGCAGACTCTTGATGAGCTTCTAGAGGTCGTCACCTGAAATGCTCTTCCAACAGCCTTGAAGGAGTTCCCAGAGATGCTTAGCACTTGTTGGCCATTTTGCCTTCACTCTGCGGTGCAGCTCACCTCAAACCGATTGGCTTCAGGTCCTGTGATTGAGGAGGCCAGGTCATCTGGTCAAACAGTCCTTAAACAGCCTGAAGGTGTTTTTGGGGTCATTGTCCTGTTGAAAGATAAACGATGATCCAACTAAACGCGAACCGGATGGAATAGCATGCCGTTGAATGATGCTGTGGTAGCCATGTTGGTTCAGTATGCTTTCAATTTTGAATAAATCCCCAACAGTGTCACCGGCAAAGCAACCCCACACCTCCTACTCCATGCTTCATGGTGGATGTAGAGTCCATCTGTTCACCTTTTCTGCGTCGCACAAAGACAATGGCTGGAACCAAATATCTCAAATTTGGACTCTGACAAAAGCACAGATTTCCACTGGTCAAATGTCCATTCCTTGTGTTCTTTAGCCCAAGCAAGTCTCTTCTGCTTGTTGTCTGCTAGTCCTGATTCACCTAGTCTCCTCTTAAAAGTTGTTCTAGAGATGTGTCTGCTGCTAGAACTTTGTGTGGCATTGACCTGCTCTCTAATCTGAGCTGCTGTTAACCTGCCATTTCTGAGGCTGGTGACTTAGATTAACTTATCGTCCGCAGCAGCAGTGATTCTTGGTCTTCCTTTCCTGGGGCAGTCCTCATGTGAGCCAGTTTCTTTGAAAGTGTCCCCGACTGCAGTCTCAAAAACCATCAAGAGCTACAAAGTTTTGCACTGACTGATCATTTCTTAAAGCTATGGTGGCCACTCGTTTTTCTTTGTGTAAGTGTATATAATAGTCTATTTTATTGCATGCCTTATACCCACAGTGTTTTAGATATTTTTATTTACCTATTCCATATTATATGTTTCATGTTGCACGATTGTACCATAAAAATTCCTAGTTTGTGAACTCCTTCACCAACAATGGCAATAAACCTGATTCTGATTTACTTAGCTGCTTTTTTCTTAAAGGAATAGTACACCCAAAACATGATTAGCCTTCATTTTCTACTCACCCCCATGCTGAACAACACTCTGGAGTACTTTTTTGATATCTCAAATGCATCTGGAGATCTGGGAGGCTTCTTGCTGTCTGCTGACATTCAAATAATGGAGGTCTATGGCGCCCGAGGCAGAAAGGTCCATAAAAGTCCACAAAAAACGTGTCAATATTCCTCCATACTGCTCATCCAATGTATTCCAAGTGTCCTGAGTGGGTAGCGTCCATAATTTACTCGAAACGAAGTCATTTAGAATGTTTTAGAGCATAAACAGTAGTGTATAGGATTTCCTAAAAGCGCGTTCAGGAGTCTACGGAAGCCGGCAGACCAAACCAGCGCATTCAGCTCGGCAAAGAACTCATGCTCTTCCTCAACACTGAAGTCCTCAGACATTTTTCTTTCGTTGTTTCTTTCTTTGCACAGGTAAACAGCACATTTCTTCTTCTACGCTTGCATTATCGGCAGAGCAGATGCTGAATGCGCACTTTCATCTGGTTTGGTCTGCCGGCTTCCGTAGACTCGTGAACGCGCTTTTAGGAAATCCTATACACTACTGTTTATGCTCTAAAAACATTCTAAATGACTTTGTTTCGAGTAAATTATGGACGCTACCCACTCAGGACACGGAATACATTGGACGAGCAGTATGGAGGAATATTGACACGTTTTTTGTGGACTTTTATGGACCTTTCTGCCTCGGGCGCCATAGACCTCCATTATTTGAATGTCAGCAGACAGCAAGAAGCCTCCCAGATCTCCAGATGCATTTGAGATATCAAAAAAGTACTCCAGAGTGTTGTTCAGCATGGGGGTGAGTAGAAAATGAAGGCTAATCATGTTTTGGGTGTACTATTCCTTTAATATAAAAATAAAAATTCTAAAAATATGACTATCAGCTGTGTACCATCTGACTTCTGCATGCACAACTGATGGTCCTAACGCCATTTATAAGGCAAGAAATCCCACTTCTTTATCTTATTGTGTTGTGACTGTCACTATGTGTAAAGCTGCTGCTACACTACAATTTCCCAGCTTGGGATAAATAAAGTAAATCTATTCTACTTATTAAACCTGAAAGGGGACACCTGTGCAGCGAAAAACCATTTTAGGTGACGACCTCTTGAAGCTCATCAAGAGAATACCAAGAGTGTGCGAAGCAGTAACCAAAGCAAAAGGTGGCTACTCTAAAGAACCTAGAATATAAGACATTTTCAGTCGTTTCACATTAAATTCCACATGTGTTAATTCATAATTCTACAATTTTCAATATCATAATAAAGAAGACTTTGTAATATACAGTACAGACCAAAAGTTTGGAAACACCTTCTCATTCAAACACCTTTTCTTAAAAGGCTGTTTTAAACCAAACCTTTTTATTCTTTTTGAAGAGAGGGACGGTTTTGTTTGAAGAGCTTCCAGCTGTTGGCTGATCTACAGAGATACAAACATTATGAGAGGCCTTTAGAAATCTGTGAGGTCCTGTTTATCATGTTTGGATCATTCAGTTTTCCCTTTTTTTAAAACCAGCATACCAAAGTCTTGACTGACAGCAGCAGCAGCCGAGCCAGGTTGTCCCAGGATTCCTCCACATCGTGACTGAAATTCACCTCCACAGCCACTTCAAACAGGTGATCTGCAAAGAGACCCATAACACTGCAACGGCTGTCAAACTACCCCAAAAAGTGTCTGAGAAGTCAGGTTTATACAACACATAAAAACTGTAATAAAATCCTATTTAAATAAAACAATTCTGACTTAAAATATTCAAAGACGACCAAAATATTTTTATTAAAGTATTAACTGTCCACTGTACTCACCACCAGGCAGATGGGGACTCTCAGACTGATTTTTCATGTTCACTGAGACACAGACGGAAACAGACTTTCAGATTAAAGAACTAAACAGTCAGTTTGTGGTGCAGGAGTTTAAACCATTCAAGCCAACTTTAACTTAAGAATCATTTTAGAAAAAGGAAAACTGACCAAAATAATTAACAACCAAACAAAAGTGAAAATGTAAAAGTATTTAAAAATATGTAACACCACCCCCATATCATCAACTTTTGCCAATATTGCAGCTTTGAGTTTTGACCAATACCACCATCGACCAGCTGGATATTAGCACAAATCCTTCCTACTTTCATTATTAATTTTTGAGTGTGGAATGCTTCCCTTCATTGCCTTCCTGTTAAGCCCTCCTCATATAAAGCCTTAAATGGCCAAGCTCCATCTGATATCAGAGATCTGATTGTTCCTTATGTTCCTAACAGAGCACTTCGCTGTCAGTCTGCAGGTTTACTAGTGGTTCCTAGAATTTCTAAAAGTAGAATGGGAGGCAGATCTTTTAGTCATCAGGCTCCTCTCCTGCAACTTTCCTTTTTGATAAAGCTTCTAGTTAGAGTGGCTCAGGTTATCCTGAGCTATCTCTATAGTTATGCTGCTATAGGCTTAGACTGCTGGAGGACATAGGGACCCCTTTTTCATCATTCTCTCTCTATTCTTCCGCTTTGTAGAATCTATTAGTTCAATCTCTAACGTTCTGCTCTCTCTGCTTTTTCTCATAGTAGCTTCATCTGGTCTGTTCCTGTTTGGCTGTGACTCCATCCTGGAGAGAAATATCAGCTGTGCTGCTGCCGTCAAAAACTTCGTTTAAAGATGATGGGGCGTGGCCTGTTTTTCAGTGTAGTCCTGTTTTTCCTGACTGTATGTGCTCCCTTTCATCCTCGGAGATGGGAGCTGACTCGGAGCTCGTCTGCGAAGCTGTGCGTTTCCTGGACAGACTGCCTGAGGAGATGGTTGACAGCTGCCTTTTGTATCTCTTTTTTCCTGCACGTGTGCTTCTGTCTCCTTGAACCCGAGTCAGCCCGAGATTTTCCTTTCTTCTGTTGCTACAAGCATGCTTGGTGTGAGGGATTGCCTTTGAGTCAATTAATCTGCTGATTTTCCTTAGAAAAGTTTGAACCATCTGACTGTACACCGCAAAAAATTGAAATCTACATAAGTCATTTTTTCTTGCAATACGTACATTTTTTTCTTCAATTGAGGTAATTGACACTTTGCCAGTAGAACAAGACAATTTACATTTAAAATAAGAAAACAATTGCATTGTCTTATTTCAAGTGCATATTATCTAATTATCTTATTTTAAGACTAAAAATACTAATTCCATTGGCAAATTATCCCATTTACTTACTCAAATTAATGGTAAATACACTTAATTTAAGGCATATTTTCTCATTTTTAGATGGTTTTTGCAGTGTATGATCTAAATTAATTGTCTCTGTTGAGTGCTTCGAGATGAAATGCGTTCTGAATTGTCGCTATGTAAATAAACTTAATTGAATAAGGTAGGGTTGAATAAGTGAAAAATAAAGAGAATATCCGACTCAACCATTAAACCATGGGTTACAGAAACTTCAAACTGAATCAGTGTTTTTCTATTAGAATGCTGATATTGTGAGAGTTCAGATGTAAACCCTTCAGCAGACTTAGTTGTTCAGCAGCATTGAACCGAGCGTTTTCCTGAAGCTTTCCTTGACTCACATTTCCTATTCTGACCAAGTCACGATCAGAGGGTTAATTGACAGGCTGAGCTGATAACATGCATATCCGGTGAGCTTCTGAGTTCCTCCACTACACCTGAGTGAAGTTGCCCCCCCCACCTTCTTCAAATCAGACAAAATTAGTGTCAAATGTTTGTGCAGCAAAAATTTTCGTTTGTGCCGCTCTTGTTTTAAAGATATAAAGAAATATTTCTAGAGGTCATCAAAGGTCAACCATTCCCCCCACCTTCTTTAAATCAGACAAAATAGGTGTCAATTAACTCAGCTCCGTTTGTGCAGCAAAAATTTTCGTTTGTGCTGCTATCGTTTTAAAGATAAAGAAATATTTCTAGGTGTGAGACTTGAGTGAAGTTGGCCCCCCCACCTTCTTCAAATCAGACAAGATTAGTGTCAAACTTTTGTGCTACGTTTGTGCTAGTTTGGATTTGAAGATATTAATAAAAATGTAAAGGTCAAAAGGTCAACCAGCCCCCGCACCTTCTTCAAATTAGACAAAATTGGTGTCAAACGTTTGTGCAGCAACAATTTTCGTTTGTGCCGCTCTTGTTTTAAAGATATAAAGAAATATTTCTAGAGGTCATCAAAGGTCAACCAGCCCCCCCAACTTCTTTAAATCAGACAAAATAGGTGTCAATTAACTCAGCTCCGTTTGTGCAGCAAAAATTTTCGTTTGTGCTGCTTTGATTTGAAGATTTGAAGAAAGAGGGGGGCCTGGTTGACCTTTGATGACCTCTAGAAATATTTCTTTAAAACGATAGCAGCACAAACCAAAATTGTTGCTGCACAAACCAGCACAAACGTAGCACAAACGTTTGACACTAATTTTGTCTGATTTGAAGAAGGTGGGGGGCCCAACTTCACTCAGGTCTCCACCACAGGGACGCGTTTACATTTTCACCAAGCTCACTGTGACAAGATCTCTGTAGTGAGAGGAAATATTACCAATAACCTCAAAGAACCACATCTGCAAGCATTGAGGACATAGTTCTACTTACGGTTCCCCATGTCTTCAGATTGGGGTTCCATCATATCAGTTCCATCAGAGGAAGATGGCTGCTGGTCTGAGACGCGACTGATATGCTCTGCAACCTGCTCCGGACCACCACCAGCAATTAGACCCTCATCTGTGGCTACATCCTCCACCAGGTTTCCTACTTTTGAAGTTGGAGGGCTGTTGTTGGATATGAACTCGTGTTGCTGCTGAGGCGGTGGGGTTGCAGAAAGAACGACAGGGTCAGGCTGACCGGAGTGGCTGTGAGCAGCACCTCTTCCTGATCTGACTGTTCTTGGGATGGACGTCGGCGCCGTGGGGGCAGCCATGAACTGGTAAACATGGGTGTAGTTCTTCTGGAGATGGATATAGGATTTTATTACAGATTTTAAAATTTCTACTACAAGTGGAAATATTAACTATATGCTGCAACATTTAAAAGAGAAAATTCGCAGCCATTTTTTCTAAATTCTAAGAAATCAGAGCTGCTGTAAACAGTTCTGGACCAGGGACAGGGGCGGAGCTAAAGAGGGGGGAACAGATCGCCCTAAAATCTGATTTCCCCTGAAAAACCAATGATCCACATGTCACAGCACCAGATAACTACCTTATACTACTGTGCTTTGCAAATGTGGGAAGATTTTGGGATAGGAATGAAGAAAACAAAGCAAAAAAAAAAAAAAACAGAAAAAAAAAAATCAAATATAAGATACAGCAAATATTACTCAAAGCCTTAAAGGAATAGTACACCCAAAACATGATTAGCCTTCATTTTCTACTCACCCCCATGCTGAACAACACTCTGGAGTACTTTTTTGATATCTCAAATGCATCTGGAGATCTGGGAGGCTTCTTGCTGTCTGCTGACATTCAAATAATGGAGGTCTATGGCGCCCGAGGCAGAAAGGTCCATAAAAGTCCACAAAAAACGTGTCAATATTCCTCCATACTGCTCGTCCAATGTATTCCAAGTGTCCTGAGTGGGTAGCGTCCATAATTTACTCGAAACGAAGTCATTTAGAATGTTTTTAGAGCATAAACAGTAGTGTATAGGATTTCCTAAAAGCGCGTTCACGAGTCTACGGAAACCGCGGCAGCCAAACCAGATGAAAGTGCGCATTCAGCGTCTGCTCTGCCGATAATGCAAGCGTAGAAGAAGAAATGTGCTGTTTACCTGTGCAAAGAAAGAAACAACGAAAGAAAAATGTCTGAGGACTTCAGTGTTGAGGAAGAGCAGGAGTTCTTTGCCGAGCTGAATGCGCACTTTCATCTGGTTTGGTCTGCCGGCTTCCGTAGACTCGTGAACGCGCTTTCAGGAAATCCTATACACTACTGTTTATGCTCTAAAAACATTCTAAATGACTTCGTTTCGAGTAAATTATGGACGCTACCCACTCAGGACACTTGGAATACATTGGACGAGCAGTATGGAGGAATATTGACACGTTTTTTGTGGACTTTTATGGACCTTTCTGCCTCGGGCACCATAGACCTCCATTATTTGAATGTCAGCAGATAGCAAGAAGCCTCCCAGATCTCCAGATTCATTTGAGATATCAAAAAAGTACTCCAGAGTGTTGTTCAGCATGGGGGTGAGTAGAAAATGAAGGCTAATCATGTTTTGGGTGTACTATTCCTTTAAGAAAAACTAAGATTTAACCAAGTAAAATTAAGTTACTTTATAAGCAGAGGGAAAAAAAATTCTGGTCCATTTCACAAAGGAAAATAGCCTTTAGTCAAACTGTTAAATGGAAGTAACAATAAATTAGATATTAAAGTCTTAAGAATTGGAATAATATTGCTGGTTTATGTGATAAAATGGTAAACTGTTAGTAATTGTATGAAACTTAATTGTGCTCCTCCGTTTGCATCCAATTTAAAATACATTCATACATTTACATACGTCAAGTTCTTTCAACTTTATTTAAATTGTTTATAAATGACAAACTCCCATAAAAATAAATAGTGAAGCTCCAATCCCACTTTTTTTTTTTCCCTCTTTAAGATCTGTTCACCCAAATCATATCCTAAAATAGATGGAACAGTAATTCCACATTCGACAAATTACTGACTTGGAAGAGCTAAATGCAAATAAAGACACCATTTCGATTATGACTTGTTAAAGACAAAATTAGAATACATAACTTTCACACTTCATGAAACGGACCGCTTTGAGTTAATTAGAAGGAAAAAAAAGGAAACGTACTGAATGGTTTTGAAATGAAATTGTAGAAAGAAGTTTTACTTTAAGCTGGACCCCGGGGGGAGGGGTTAATATTAGACAATATAAGGCAGTTCCCCAGAAAACTCTGTTTACATGGATGGTTAATACAACTACTTATTTGTGCACATTGAGTAGGTTTTTGATAAAAAATTATTTGGCTAAAATGCAATCAGAACACTTATAACATTAAGTGTGTCTTCTCAATTCAGAGGGCCCCCTGCCTTACTTTGCCTAGGGCCCCAACTTTCCTAAATCCACCCCTGTTGGACCTTAGTGCGTGTCGTGCATCAGTGTGTCCTAGAGAGAAAACCCACCTCTGTAGCGCCGTCTCTGCTGTGGGAACCTCCAGACAGCCCCGCTGTCAGGGCCACATGCTGATCAAAATAATCATACGTCACATCAGCATCCTCCACCTCCACCTTGGGTAACGACTCAAAGTCACTGAGGTCTGTCATTCCAGGAGACCAGTCTGACTCCTTGCTTTTGTGTGCAGAGCCTTTCTGTGGGTTGTAAACCACCGGTGGTCCAAATGCCTGGTAGCGAGCATAGAAGCCCCTGTAAGGCGGGTCAGGCCAGCCGCCGATCAGTACCACCACATACAGAGTGTTGGACGAAGACGTGAATTTGGCCTCCTGCCAGCACTTCTGCAGCACCTTGTGGCCCCCTGATTGGGCACCAGGCTCATCCACATGGATCTGGTCCTGTTTCAGTTGGCAGACCTCATCAGGGGTCAAGTCCTCCAAGCGGAGATGAATCCTCTTCCCCGGATCCACCCGAATGGTCCAGTTGCACCACAGAGGAGGGTTGGAGCACAAGTAGTCTGGGGAGAAAAACTCACCGCTGTCGCTTTGCAGCAGCTGGTGGCAGCTTCGCAGGGCGAAGAAAGCGCTGCGATCCCCTTTAGGTTCATCTGATGACGAGATAAAACACATAAATCCACAGTGTCTGACCAAAATATTCCAAAAACAAGAACTTATTTTGTCCTATTTCAGCCACAAATGTACATTTCTGTGGGGCTTTACGTGGCAGCGCTACATTAGTCGGGGATTTACCATTAGGCAATACTAGGCAGTTGCCAACTTGGGGCCCCATAAAAGTCAGTTTATACGTATGGTTAATGCAACTACTCCTTATTTGTGCACATTAATCAGGTTTTTGATAAAAATTATTTTACTAAAATGCCATCAGAATGCTGATAATATTAGGTGCGTCTCAGCCCCCCCCCTTCAGTGTCCACCATATTGGATCAGTCCATTTGCTGCACATGTTCAGAAAGGTCCAAACAGACAGCAGCAAACCATTTAAAAACAATGGATGCAAAGAGGAATGTTGCCAACTTAGCGCTTTAGTCGCTATATTTAGCCACTTTTCAGACCCCTCTAGCACTTTGATTTCTAAAAAGCTCCTAACGCCAAATCTAGAGACTTTTTTCTGCTACTGCAGACTTTGGAGACAACATCTAAAAGCAGCGAACTCTGCTCTCCAGAGCAAGTAGATTCAGCTAAGTGAGCTTAGTGATTGGAAAAAATCTTTCATTCCTTTTGAGACAGCATGAAAAGCAGTGATGGGAGTAACGGCGTTGAAAGTAACGGCGTTACTAACGCCGCTACCTTTTTTTAGTAACGAGTAATCAAAATTATTACTCTTACTGTAACTATAACGCAGTTACAATTGCCGACACCCCGTTACTGCAGGTTACTCAGGTCGCACAATGAACCTTTTTTCATGATAGAACTCGTGCGCGCGTCATGAGAGAGGGGAGGATGGAGAGTGAGGAGGACTCCAGCAGCAAAACAGCGTTTTCCAGATGGAAATACTGGTGTTACGTCGAGCTGCGTTTCCCCATCAGATACAGTTTCCCCTGCATCTCTGCACAGCGCGGCGGCACGATTCACCGCGCAAGCGACAGGAAACGCGCAACAGGAACTACGGAGAGCGTGAACGATCATTAGCCTATATGGAGAAAGAGAGAAATATGGGTGGATGGATAGATATAGCTACATGTTGCAGTATCTATAACAACCCAAACACAGGATTTCAGAATTAGACATCCCCAGTTATTAATTTCATACACTCGCAAAAGTAACGCAATAGTTACTTTTACTACTAACTACTTACTTTTATTGCAGAGTAACAGTTACTTTTTGGAAGTAGTAACTAGTAACTATAATTAATTACTATTTCAAAGTAACGTGCCCAACACTGATGAAAAGTCAGCTGAGTACAAAACAGAGAGGAACACAAGAAAAGGGACAAAATGTAGAACAAATAATGTATGTCTATCTATATAATGGGTCTATTCTATGTGATGTCTTTTCAATTCAGGGGCCCCCTTACCTGCACTACCTCAGCCTGGAACAAACTATTGCTGCTGTTTTATTGCTTTTATTGTAATGTCTATACTTCATATTTATCTTATCACTGTTACCTGTCATGTCCCGCACTTTATGTCAGTCTTGTATATTCTAGAGAGTAGACGTAATTTCATTTCCCTTGCATGTCTTGTACATATGAAGAAAGTGACAATAAAAGCTGACTTGACATTTACTAAATCCACCCCTGTCCTCAGGCCATGGTAGGAAGACAGCAGTTATGGAAGAACTGCTGATCCAATTTGGTTGTGATGGGATCAAAGTTTTACTTTTTGGTCTAAATTGAAAACTTAACATGTTAAAAAACAACAATGCAAAGCACTGCGAAAATACTTTTATCTCTGGACTTTTCTTCAAGAGGAACATCAAGAGTTGATGTTGGTATGGATGAAGCTAAACTATTTAGAGTTCAAGACAAACAAAACTAGCATAGGTTCACAAGACTAAACACAACCACAGCTACAATGGAAATCATGCATTTTCCTTTAAAGTCACTGGCAAGTAGGGCTGTATAAAAAAAAAAAAAAAAAAAAAAATTGAGTGAATCAATTCTCATCTCTAACAATCAACTTTTTGTTGGAAAAATAGATTTTTTTTTAAAAAATAGCGTATATTTAAGGTAATCATTTGTTTATCAATTTGCTTTTGAATATTAATATAATACTAGTATCTATACGTTACATAACTTCAGTCACATGATTCATGAAGCAGCCACAGAAATGTTTTAAATAGAAACAATGGAACCGGTTCTGAATCTTGAGAACTGGAATCAAATTGATTCTTGAAATGAAAAATCAATACCCAGGCTAAGAGTAAACGAGAAATATTGACATACAGACGCCCTCCATCTGATTGAACTGGAGTCCATTTGAAAATTAGAACAATCCCAACTGTAGGTCTACAAGATGGGGAAGGTTGGTCTTAACCAAAATGACATCCAGCAGGCTGAATAGAAACTTTAGCTCTAATTTATTTGTAAAAAGCATCAAAGTTCAATTTCCCTCCATTTCCAAATGATGCACAAACAAAACGCCAATAAAATGCAAAATAAACACTTTTACTTTAACACAATGTTATAGAAGAACTAAGACTATATATCCAGGAAAAAGTAAAACTTCTACATTTCAGTTCAGGTGGGGAGGGATCTGTTACCATATTAAAAGCATATCCTATTTACTCAACTAAAGCTTCTGTTTAAGATACATAGCCCTTACACAAGATGGCAAGCAAAGAGTAAAAAAATAAACTAAAATCATCAGCAGCCTAGTAGTCTGCTGATGCATCTTTTAGAGGAACTGATTCAAATCAGTTTTTACACTGGAAAAAATCAAAATCTTGATCAGTCATTTTTTCTCAAATAAAGTGCCTTTGTTCTTGGTTTAAGGAGGTAAAAAAGACATTTTGCCAGTGGAACAAGACATTTGCATTTAAATTAAGAAAACATAGTTGCAATGTCTTATTTAAAGTGCATTTTATCTAACTATCTTATTTTAAGAGTAAAAATACTATTCAATTGGGGTATCATCTTATTTACCAACTCAAATTAAGGGTAAATACACTTAACATAAGACATTTTTACTTATTTCTAGATTGTTTTTCCAGTGTAGGTCATAGACTTTTAGCTAGAACAAAAATATTGTCTATGAAATTAATTTCCCATTTAATTTATAAAATCTCCTTTGAAATGTTTTCACATTTTGGAGACCAGGAGGGTTTTTTCTTTTAAATGCTTGTACATGATAGCGGTTCACTGCAGAGCTGGGGAGTGATTAGTTACATTTCACATTTTTTGGGGAAAAAAAAAAAAAAAAAAAAGTACTTTGAGTAGGTTACCTGTGCCAAACTTTTTACTTGAGTAATATTCTTGTAAAGTATCGCTACTTAAGTAAAATCTCTGACTACTGTCCTCTGAGTAATGTGAACCATTTGAAAATAAGATAATCATACAGTAGATATTAACAATGGAAGTTTGGTACAAAGTGTCATTGTAAAGGTTTGTTTTATTTATTTATCTTTTAAGTGTTATGTTTAAAAAAAGTGGTAAGTAATTTTTGTACACAAATTTGTTCTTTTATATCAATTACGTTTTTATTCCTTAGGCATTTGAGTGTCCAAAATGACAACTTGCACATAAAGTCTGATGCCAGGATAATTTCTCAACATTAAATCTCATGTTAATATCCAATGATTACTCAGTACTCAAGCAGCCTTGCTACCGAATACTTTTTTTTACTTTTGAGTAAAATTTATAGTACAATTTTGGGGAACTCTACCCACCTCTGGTCAGCTGGTGCAGTAATGAGGACAGGCTGATCAATTTTAGAGCAATTAAAGCCTTGATAGCTTTTAAACAAGACAGGAAGGATGTTTTATTTGTTTCACCAACGTTATATTTTACACAAAGTAATTCAGATATTTTAATGAGGTGAATCCTAGTTACTGAAAAAAAATGATAAAGACACCAGGATATTAAATATTTAAAACAGACAAACATAGAAAAAAGATAACACGTACAATAAATAAATGAGTGAAAATGTCACCTGAAAGTCTTGGGAGTGTATCTGTGTCCCCCTGCAGAGAACAGACTCATGTAAATACAGAGAGCTGAAGGATTAAACCCTGAAGAAGCTGAAAGTTTCTGAAACAGACCTGAACGCAACAAAGTTTTCCAAATCTCAGTAGAAACACCAGCAACGCGCTTTGGAAGATCAAGCTGCTCCTTAAAGGCATTTTACTACCAAAATCTTTACTGTTGCTCTTTTTATTCGTGCGAGAGAAAATGTGCCGAAATGAAAGATAACTTCTATGCTTCTCCGTTCTTATCCGCACAGGTGGATCTCATCAAGTAGATGATTGAAGTCGCTTCTATCTGCGCCGCTTTTGGCCACCAGCAGATGTCGCCCTAGTACCTAAAATCTAATTCAGTTGATTTTGCCTTATAGCCGCGGTTCTCAAAGTGTGTGGCGCGACCCACTGGTGGGGAATTGAGACGTGACAGGTGGGGCGCGCCAAGTTCCGGTGTGTGTGTGTGTGTGTGTGTGTGAGACTATAAATGTAGAATGTGTGAGAGCAAACTTTCCTTATAGCTGTATGTTGCCGCTTTTTAGACCAATCAAACCCACAAAGTAATCATTACTAGCCTACATGCAGTCTAATTAAAAGAACATTAGAAAAATTTCACCTGGAACTGAAGTGCCAAAATAATGATTGACGTGACGTCGGCATATTATTTGTAACGGAATAAACTTTCGCGCCCCAGTGTTGCCAACTCAGCGACTTTGTCGCTATATTTCAGACCCCTCCAGCGACTCTTTTTCAAAAAAGCGACTAGCGACAAATTAGCGACTTTTGGAGGCTCCTACGTGAAAGCACGTCTCGTTCCTTTTCTTGTCCTCCAGCGGCAGGTGCTGCCGTGGGGCGCCTCCTCCCTCCCAACCCCGTTCTCCCCCGCTATCGCAGGAGTCCCTCTCAGCGCTGCAGTAAGGGACACAGCATGTTTACCCTCAGCGTCCAGACAGCAAATAAAGCGCACATGCGCCGGGATTGACGGCGCAGGTTGATCATAAATAACTGAATTTGAAATATTTTATCTGAAATAAATAACGGCGTTCGATTCACACAGCCACATGTTCATGTTTCTGGTTTGGAGTGGAGAGGGAGTATCCACTCATCGGGCAGAGAGCTGTGTGCATTCTTCTTCCCTTTGCCACATCATATCTCTGTGAGATGGGCTTTTCAGCTGTTGCTTCACTGAAAACAAAGCATGACTTGAGAGTGGCAGTATCAAGCCTGCAACACCGTTTTGAGAAACCGCAATGCAAAACAGGCTCATTGCAGCCACTAATGCAGGGATAAATAGACCTGTATTGCCAGATGGATTTCACTTCTTTTCTTTTATTAACAGATTGCAGAGTGGCACTTTAATTTTTTCTATCTTTGAGCTTGATACAAATTTTGACACAGCTGCATTTTTATTTTCTTTATTTTTGAGCTTGCTGTTATTTGATGTAGATAGTTTGTATTTAGATTAGTGCTGTCAATCGATAAAAAATTTTTAATCGCGATTAATCGCATCAATGCCTAAGTTAACTCGCGATTAATCGCATTTTAATCGCACATTTTTTTCCTGATTGAAAATCATTTAAATACTCTCGATGACATACAAAAAAATACATACAGGCTAGGTTTGTGCCAATGTTCTTTTTTTAAAATGAGAACAGGTCACAGACACTGATTTATGCCATAGAAACATATGGCAAGAAGATGGGGAGGCATGTAGCAAAAAATAACAAATATGTAGGCAAAAAAAAGGCCCTGAAAACAGGCTGATGTAAAAGACAGTCTTTACACTTAATACAGTCTTTTGAACAAAGACAAGCATTTTACCTTACTGCTATAAAATGCAGTAGAGTTAACATTAGATGTTAATTAACCAAGATAATAATGAACAATTTTCAATCAATACATCAAAATCAATAGACCGACATCACTAGATGGAGGTAGTCTATGCTCTAGAAAGTTACTTTTCAGACTCTTAACAAAAATGAGAACACACACACACACACACATACACACACACACACACACACACACACACACACACACACAATACTGACCTGTGGCGTACACAGACAGCAAGAGTGCCGTAGCAGATTCCATTAATAACGCAATAATTTTGACAGCACTAATTTAGATACTACTTGTTACTTCAATAAAATTGGAACATTTTAAGATTGTTTCATATTTCATTAGCATTGTGTTGGGGCGATGGGGACAGGCGGGGCTTGAAAATTCCCCCTTGTCCAAAGTGGGGAATGACAGAAAAAGTTTGAGAACCACTGCCTTATAGTGTGCCCCTTTGACTTAGAATTGCGCCCCCCCACACGACCCCAAACACCAACACACACACTGCACGTATTGATGGATGAATAATGTGATAGTTTTAATCCACTATCAGCCCGCAACTGTGCTTCATAGATTCACAGGTATTCCTTAATTATCTTCAGTCAAATAAGTAAAAACACCAACAGGAAAAAAAATATATTTCCTTTTTTTTTTTTTACAGTTTTCTACGGAAGAGGATTAGGGCCACTGAAAAAATAAAAAAAAAGTTAACTGATATTTCAATTTTATTTCAGTTTCTATGGGGAAAAAGTCAGAATTCTGAGATTAAAGTCAGAATTCTGAGCAAAAAAGTCAAAATTCTGAGATTAAAGTCAGACTTCTGAGCAAAAAGTCAGAATTCTGAGATTAAAGTCAGACTTCTGATCAAAAAGTCAGAATTCTCGGATTAATGTCAGAATTCTGAGATTAAAGTCAGAATTCTGAGCAAAAAAGTCAGGATTCTAAAGAAGTCCGAATTCTGAGAAAAAAGTCAAAATTCTGAGATTAAAGTCACACTGCTGAGAAAAAAAGTCAAAATTCTGAGATTAAAGTCAGACTGCTGAGAAAAAAAGTAAAAAAAATTCTGAGAAAAATTAAAACATCTGTTACATTTTTTCAGTGGCCCTAATCCTCTTCCATATTTTTACTTCTTTTCTGCATTTATTCTTTTTATGGGGGAAAAAGTCAGAATTCTGATGGGAAAAAAAGTCAGAATTCTGAGAATAAAGTCAGAATTCTCCGATTAGAGTCAGATTTCTGAGAAAAAAAGTCAAAATTCTGAGATTAAAATCAGACTTCTGAGAAAAAATTCAGAATTCTGAAAAAGTTAGAATTCTGAGAAAAAAGTCAGAATTCTGAGCAAAAAGTCAGAATTCTCAGATTAAAGTCAGAATTCTGAGATTAAAGGCAGAATTCTGAGCAAAAAGTCAGAATTCTGACATTTAAGTCAGAATTCAGAGAAAAAAGTCAGAATTCTTTGATTAAAGTAAGACTGCTAAGAAAAAAGTCAGAATTCTGAGGAAGTCTAAATTCTGCGAAAAAGTCAGAATTCTGAGAAAAATTAAAACATCTGTTCAATTTTTTTATTTTTTTCAGTGGCCCTAATCCTCTTCCGTATTTTACTTCTTTTCTGAATTTATTCTTTTTATATATCCAGCATTAGAGGACTCTGAATAGGAGATTATCTTTGACAAGTGTAGAATTATGGCTCTGCTATGATGCTCTGCTTGATTGACAGACAGAAAATACAGAGAGATTAAAGTGAAAGGGGAATAAAAAGTTATAGGGAGAAATTACTATAGGCTAAAAAAGAATGAAGAGAACACATAAAAAAACCCTAGACGTGAAATAAAAGGAGAAAAAAAATGACATCTAGTAAATGCATATAGAACAAACAACAATATTTAATAACATTACAAATCAATATCAATATGTGCTACGGGTGTAAGTATTGACTGGAAACTCCAAGGTCAAAGTGGGACACACCTCCGAAGGTTGGCAAACCAACCTGACATTGTGGTGGTGCACAAAAAGCAGAGGAAAGCCGTTGTGGTTGCCATAGCGATACCAAGTGACTGCAACTTCAGGAAAAAGGAACATGAGGAACTAGAGAAATAGCAGGGGCTGAGAGAAGAGCTGGAGAAAACCTGGAAGGTCAAGGCATCAGTGGTACCCGAGGCCATTGGGGCCCTCGGGGCAGGGGCCCCCAAACTGGAGGCGTGGTTACAGCAGATCCCTGGAAATACATCAGACATCTCAGCCCAGCAGAGTGCAGCTCTAGTAACAGCAAAGATACTGGCAGAACCCTCAGGCTCCCATGCTTCCGGTAGAGGACCCCAGATTGGAAGAAAAGGTGGGAAGACTGCCTGTGGTAGGTAAGGAAGAGTTTTTTGATTATATATATATATATATATAAATATAAACAGGAATTGAATGTGATGTGCCTCACTAAAAGAAGCTCTAGCACCCTCTAGCTGCAGCAGTACCCAACAGTGGATCATTGCGTTTTCAAACCATGCATTTATTAGAAGACCAATAAGTCACACTGTAGATTTTTCTTTTTGTTTATTCAAAACTTTAAGCTTCATAAAGTACTCCTTTTTAAAGCAATAAATTATGATTTCTTTCAAGTACTGAATTAAATGCAGAATAGACTGTTATCACAAAGACCTGTTAAAACAGGTCAGTTGCAGCTGATATGAGGGTGGACAACCCATGACCAGATCTTCAGCATCTCCTGTGGCGTTACGCTGTGAACCAGCATCAAGTCTCTGTAGACACATGGACTGTCTCTGTATTTTTCTTCAATGCCAAACGTCTTGAAGCCTCCGTGCTTCTCAGGGACCAGGCCCAGTTTCTTCAAACACATCCCCGTGTAGACATCATCAATTGGATACAAGACAACCTGCTGAGAAATGTTGCACAGGCGTATTGCTAAATTCCCAGAGAACATATAACCTCCCCCACCAGCGTAGGGTGGGTACTGCCCCACAAACACACTCTCAGGGACAAAATACTTCAGCTTCTTGTCTCTGTGTGGACCTGCATTTATTATAACATCCCCAATGAACAAATCCTTCGCCTTGCCCTCAGACAAGCCTTTTAGGTAGTCAATAATCCTGAAGGTATTGACGAAGACATCGTCATCACCCTTTAGAACGTACTGAGCTTGAGGACAATGCTTGGTAAACCATTGTAGAAAAAGGACCTCTTTGAGGGTGAGGTTGAAGAACGTGTCCCTATAGTCCCATTGAAGCAGGTCTTGGTGAAGCTTTGCCTCATGGTCAAGCATTCCCTGCAGGTTTGGAAAGTTGTCCTCAGATGAAGCACTGCCTAGCAGGAACACTGTTCTCACTGGTCTATTGGCTAAGGTACCAGCTTGCCCCCATGTCTGACGAATGGCCTGTCGCCGGTCAAAATGAGGGATCAGTGACTTGACC